CACTCGGCCTTTCCCCCATCGGTACCTGCAATGGGTTTCTTTGTGGAAGGCGGAATTCCTTGAACCCATAAGTACATCCTCTTTCTTGGCTAAAATGTGTTCCCGGCCCATGCAGGAAGCTTGTAGAAATAGAAGACATGGGCCAAATTTGCTGCTGAAGGTAGAAGGAAGCCTGGGAGGTAAGTTGAAACGGAAGTCAAAGGTGTGCCTGCCTGCACTTAACCAATTATCTGAAAGCAAAACACACCAATGCCATCAGAAGGTTCTAGAATTGTTTTTCTTCTTTTTTTTTTGCTTTGTTTTTTTTTTTTTGAGACGGGAGTCTCGCTCTGTCGCCCAGGCTGGAATGCAGTGGCCGGATCTCAGCTCACTGCAAGCTCTGCCTCCCGGGTTATGCCAATTCTCCTGCCTCGCCTCCCGAGTAGCTGGGACTACAGGCGCCCGCGACCTCGCCGGCTAGTTTTTTTTTTTTTGTCATTTTTTAGTAGAGACAGGGTTTCACCGGTTAGCCAGGATGGTCTCGATCTCCTGACTCGTGATCCGCCCGTCTCGGCCTCCCAAAGTGGCTGGGATTACAGGCTGAGCCAGCGCGGCCCGCCTGTTGTTTTTTTTCTGTTTGTTTATTTTTGAGACAGGGTTCACTCTGTGGGCCCATCTGGAGTATAGTGGTGTGATCTCAGCTCACAGCAACCTCTGCCTCCCAGTTCGGAGCGATCTCCTGCCTCAGCCTCCCGAGTAGCTGGGATTACAGGGCGTGCACCACCACACCCCCGGCTAATTTTGTATTTTTGGTAGAGATGGAGTTTGTCATGTTGTCCAGGCTGGTCTTGAAACTCCTAGCCTCAGGCGATCCGCCGTCTCCGCCCTCCCAAATGCGCGGGTTACAGGACCTGAGGTCAGGAGTTCGAGACCAACCTGGCCAACGTGGCGAAACCCCGTCTCTACTAAAAATACAAAAATTAGCCGGGTGTGGTGGCGCACACCTGTAGTTCCAGGTACTCGGGAGGCTGAGGTGGGAAGATCGCTTGAACCTAGGAGGCGGAGGTTGCAATGAGCTGAGATCGTGCCACTGTACTCCAGCCCGGGTGACAGAGTGAGACACTGTCTCTAAACATAAATAAATAAATAAGTAGTATGTGAGGCAGAGAAAACTTGCCCTCATAGAGCTTGACCTTCAGTGCATGGTATACAGTAGGTGCTTAATACATGTTGATTGACCAACTGAGTGATGGTCTAGGAAGCAGACTCTCATACAACCGCCATTTCCATGACCTTCATTTCATTTTCCTTCTTGCACTTCTCAAAAATCCTCTTAGCATTGCCTATCTTCCCTAGCTCATGGCAATCCCAAAAATATCAGGGACCCTGTTTCTTTCTTTTTTGTTTTTTTGGGACAGAGTCTGTTTGTCGCCCGGGCTGGAGTGCAGTGGCGTGATCCTGGCTCCCTGCAACCTCCGCCTCCTAGGTTCAAGCAATTCTCCTGCCTCAGCCTCCT